TTAAAGTAAAAAAGATAAATTCCAAACTTAGGTTGATTTGAAGTCAATATGATCCTTCCACATTGTGGTCTACTGTGAATAGTGGCTGTAATAAAAATGGGAGTCGCAAGATATCTTTGTTGATATTATGTTCTTTTCTTGTTGCGATATATACCCCAGTAATGGAATTGCTGGATCATATGGTAGTTCTATTTTCAGTTTTGTGAGTTAACCACCCACACTTTTTTCCATAGTGGGCTGTAACTAATTTACATTCCCAACAGTTATGAGGGTTCCCCTTTCTGCCACATCTTCCCAGCATCTGTATTGCCGTTTGGTTTTTTTTTGATAGAAAGCTATTTTAACTGGGGTGCAGAGTGATACTCACTGTTTTTTGATTGCATTTCTCTGATGATTAGTGATGTTGAACATTTTCATACACCTGTTGGCCATTTTGTGTGTCTTCTTTGAGGAATGCGAATCTAGATCTTTTGCTATTTTAATCAGATTGATTATTTTATTGCTAGTGAGTGTTTGAACTCCTTATATATTCTGGTTATTAATCCCTATCAGATGGGATTTGCAAATATTTTCTTCCATTCTGGTGGGTTTCTCTTCATTTGTTTTTTTTTTTTTTTTTTTGAGACAGAGTCTCACTTTGTTGCCCAGGCTAGAGTGAGTGCGTGGCGTCGACTAGCTCACAGCAACCTCAAACTCCTGGCTCAAGTGATCCTCTGCCTCAGCCTCCCGAGTAGCTGGACTACAGGCACGTGCCACCATGCCCGCTAAATATATATATATATATATTAGTTGGCCAATTAATTTCTTCTATTTTTATAGTAGAGACGGGGTCTCGCTCAGGCTGGTTTTGAACTCCGACCTTGAGCAATCCGCCCGCCTCGGCCTCCCGAGTGCTAGGATTACAAGCGTGAGGCCACCGCGCCCGGCTCATTTTGTTGATTGTTTTCCTTGCTGTGCAAAAGCTGTTTAGCTTCATGGGACCCATTTGCCTATTTTTGCTTTGGTTGCCTGTGCTTTTAGGCTCTTACTTAAAAAATCTTTGCCCAGACCAATGCCTAGAGTGTTTCCCCAGTGTTTTCTTCTAGTAGTTTCAGAGTGTCGTTCTTGGACACAGGGTTTTTTTATGCAGTTGCCAACTGGTGACTCAGGGATCCAGACTCTGCTATCTCATCTCCAGTGTGTGACCTCCTTGCTCACATGGAGGAGAAGAAAAGACACAGTGTCACTCAGGGATAATGACCAGGCCTGTAAGTGCATGCTTCACTTCCATTTATATTCTATTGGCAGAACCCAGTCAAATTTCCCTAATTTTAACTGCAAAAAAAAAAAGGGCTGATCTTCTTGTGGCAAGAGAAGAAAAAAGGATCTTATTTTACTCTTAGCCCAGGCCCAGATGCAAAGCATCTCACCACTCCCGCTGCTGACTTTGAAGTCTCACGGTACATTTAGAGAGAGCCATCGGTGCAAGTTAAAATGTAAATTTCAATGATTAGACCTGAAACCAGGGAGGTCGGTCTAAACAACCCGTCCCAGATACCAAGCCGTGTGTCTCCCACCCTCTCAGGAATGAAGACAGACGCGTGCGTAGGCAGCGGGGGACAGCTTGCTCCGAATCATCACACAGCCTTCTTCTAGAGCGTTAGGCCGGCAAGGGGTATTCAAAACCACTTCATTCTACTCCCTCATTTCACCAATGAAAAGAAGCTATGAATCAAAGTTTGTGGCGACTTTCCTATGTTCACACAGTGAAAAAGCCAGCAGCGCTCTGCCACCTGCTTCTCAGCCTTCCAGCGTCTCTGTCGCTCATTCTTGCTCAGTTTCAGCTTCTGGTCATCTACTTTCACCTCAGCCCCATGCCTATCTTCCTGCAGGGCCCTGCCCTACAGTTTTGGGGTGTAGCATCCAAAGGGGAATTACTGGGTCAAAACACATACACGTGGCATGAATGTGTATGAATGTGTACAGAAAGATCAACAAAGTGTTTTCAGGGCCTCCACACAGTATGAATTTACCATTCCACCAGTGTCCTACACACAGTAATTTTTTTGTCCTAATATTTGAGAAATTTCAAACATGAAGAAGAGTTGAACTAATTTTATAGTGAGCACTCACCACCTGCATTCTACCCTTGCTATTTTACCATCTTTGCTTTATCACATATCCACCTGTCTACCATCCAGTAACTCCTCTTACTTTTTATATATTTCAAAGTAAATTGCAGAACAGGTACACTTCCCCCAAATACTGCACCATTAACTAGAGTTCAGTATGGTTTCTAGTTTTTGCTTGAGCGGTAAATTTCACACCTAGTGAAGTGCACGTGTCTCGAGTACAGCTTCGCTGAGCTTTGGCAAACGCACACACAAAGCCCCGGCAAGATAGAGAATGTTCCTGCCACCCCTGGAGATCCCCCTGTGCCCTCTCCTAGTCAGTCCCTGGCCCCATCTGGGGCAATCACCACCTCGATTTTTTTCTACCATAGATTAGTTTTCTCTGCTCCAGAATTTCACGCAAATGGAATGACACCGTGTGAGATCTTTCGTGTGAAGCTTCTTCTATTCTGCACGGTGATCTTGCAATTCATCCACGTCATTGCATGTATCAGCGGGTCATTCTTTTTATTGCCGGGAAGTATTCCATTGCACGGATGTGCCACAATGTGTTTATCCGCTAATGGACATCTGGGCTCTTTCCAGTATTTGTGTAGATAAACTGGCTATTAATATATTTGTTTGAGTCTTTTTGTGAACTTGAATATCTTTTCCTACTTTAATAGCTAGTCATGTTACCTTTAAATTGTCACCGTTTCCACATCTTTAATTGCCAGTGATGCTGTGCATTTTCCCCTGTGATGATGGTAATAATTCCCATTTCTTGAATGCTCACTATGGTGACAGGCCCCCTAATTTGTCCTCATAAGAATCCTGCAAAGTAGGTATAATTATATCCATTTTACATATGAAGGGACAGATGCAGGCTCATGAAGCAAGCTGGATGTGTGGACTATGACTCATCGCTGAGGCTGGGCCTCTCTCCAGGCCCCGCCACGGCTCCCTGGGGCTGTGACAAGGGCCCCTGAGCAGACCACCTGGACTGTCTTTTGCTCGCTTCCTGGAGGGGCATCTCAACCTGTGCACTATGCATCTCTACCAATTTTAATTATTTTGGCAGTGAGTTGTTTGCAGTTATATTGTTTTCTTTTAAATATATATTCCGTTGCATGATTTACTTATTCACACCCATCTATTTTGTCTGATGACAGGCTCAATTTTTCAAGAGCCAGAAATTTATCTTTGCTCCACTGCTAGAATAAATATGCAGTTCTGTTTTCTTCTTTTTTTTTGCATGCTTTCTGTTTTGCTTTTTGACACATTGGAGCTGAACTGCCATTTACAGTGTGAGATATGCAGCCACATCAGTATGTGAAGTACTTATTCAATAAATAAATCACACAATGGAAATGCTACCTTCATTTTCTATATGGGAAATAGAAGCCGAGAGAATGGAAACCTGTTTCCTACAGTTGTACGGGAGGCTCAGTAGGTGAACTTGGTTTTCAGCTCGCTGTTTCCACCTCTGAGCAAGGCCTGACTTGCCCACGGACCACCTTGGAGGAGCTCTTGGTCCACCAGACCTGCTTGGAACAGCGCTGAGACTCCCACAGCGTGGATTCCCGCTCAGGCTTCATTCTTTCTCCATCTTTACTTCTCTCCTGCTTCCAGTTCAAAAGTTTAGCAGTTTCTAAAGTCAACAGACAAATAAGTGAGCTCAGAGCGGGAAGAGGCTCACAAGGCCTTTCATTCATGTATCCAGCAAACGCTGGCTGCGCTGGGTCTTGTGGGGCCTCAGTCTGGAAGACCAGCTCCTGACCACATCCGTTGAGGGCAGTGGGCAGACAGACCGGCGACGGAAACACGGCGTGGAAAGTACAGTGAGGGGGGTTCATCTGGGGATCAGGTGGGGGACCCAACCCACCTGGAGAGCCATGAAGTGTGCCCTGGAGGAGGTGAGGCCTGGGCCAGGGCCCTGAGGGTGAGCTGCGGGGTCTGGGTACGGGGGTGGGCAAGTGCAGGGAGCAGCCGGAGGGCACAGCCCCAGTCCAGGCAAGGAGAGGAGAAAGGGGCAGGTGGGGTGTGTGGGGGGAGGGGCTGTTCCACCTGGGGAAGGCAGGGCAGGAAGTAGGGTGCGGTGAGGGGATGAGGGACTGCTGGGCCTGTACGTTTGGGTGCAGAAGCTCACGTTTCTCCCAGGCGGAGTGGGAGCAGGACAGCCTGGGCTGTAGGAAGAACATTCTGGCTCTGGAGGACAGGGTGAGTTTGAGGAGGGTACCAAGCTGCAGACACTGGGTAGCCAGAGATGTTAAGGCCCCAATTAGGGTAATGGTAGGAATGGAGAGAAGACATATTTTGGAAATAAAATCAGCAGGACTTGGTGATAGCGCCAGTGAAGAAGGAACCAAGGGTGAATCCTACATTGGCTGGGAGGATGGAGGCCTTCCAAGTAAAGAAACATTAAATAGGAGAGGAGATGTGTGCTTTGGGGAACGACCATGAGTTCTATTTTTGACAAGTGAGCTTCAGGTGACTGTGGGGCACCCACATGGTGACCTCTGAAAGGGAGGTGGACATGAGAACAGATGTCATCAGCAAATATTTGGAGCAAATATTGAATTAGTCAATAGTTGAATTATCCCAGGAGAGTGAGTAAAGGGGAAGAAGATGGGGCCAGAGACAGACTCTTCATTTAGGGGGCAAATGAAAGGAGTCCTAGAGGAAACTTTGGTCCCAGGGTAGGAGGAAACAAGGGACCATGGACACCGGTGGACTCCTGAGCTTTGAGAAGGAGGAGTTATCTATAGGCCCGACCGTGGCAGAGAGGGCTGGAGAGACACACGCTGACAGCCACATTCTGATGGGACAAGGGACTGTCTCAGGGAGCTGGGGGGTGGGTATAGCACAATTCAGACTGCAACCGAGTAGCAAATGCGAGAAACTCCAGGAGAGACCAGGAGCGTAGACTTCTCTTTAAGAGGTTTGAACAAGCAGAGAAGGAAGGACAGGATGTTAACTATGGAGGGTTAAGGGAAATTTTCTTTTTAAGGTTGGTGACAAGCTGAGCAGCCTGGAGCCCAGAGGCTGAGCTGGAGGGAGGCTGGGGAACAGGATGGCGGAGAGGCTTGGAGCTGAGCCCAGATGAAGTGTGAGACAGCGGCGGGGCTGGGCGGGCCATTTATATATGTTTATAGGGCTTGTAGGGGTGGAGAGGGTGCTTGGTGACTCAGGGTTCTGGGCTGGGTGGTAGAGACTCCTCCGGGTGTGAATGGGAGGGATGTGACCCAGGAGGAAGGCTGGCAGCATTGTGGGCACTGACACCCGCTCCCAGGGCAGCAGCACCCGCCCGGCCGGGAGGAGCAGCAGAGACAGGAGAGCACAGAGTAGCTGGTGCACATCTTTGTCCTCAAACTCTAGGGAACAAGAAATACCAATCGCACAGATGAAAGAACAGTGCTGACACCTGGGGGGGCACTCGCTCTTCGCCAGGTGTCATTCCCACTAGCTCTCGTGCGTACCCACTTAATCTACACCAGCTGCTCCTACGTGATGCCATTTCGTGGACAAGGAAATTGAGGCACAGAGAAATCAAGGGGCTTGCCCGAGCTCGCCCTGCTCCTAAGTGGAGGAGCAGCCGGTGTGCTGACTCAGGCCGCCTGCCCCCAGAGCCACCGCACGTTGCCATCCTGCTGCTTTTCTTTACTTTTCTGGGGCTGGTCTCGGTGCCTACCCGGTCCCCACAACATCAGGTGGCAGGAGGCCGACCTCGAACAGATCAGGCCTCTTCCCTGTGCTCCCCACCACTGCCTCCAGCCCCCGCCCCCGTCCTTGGGGTTGCGGTTAGGTCCCAGGCAACTCTCCAGGCGGCAGGGCCACAGGGGTGGGCGTGTGCTTCGTGTGAGGGGCTGCGCATGTGCTGGGCTGGGCTGCGCGTGCCCACGGCGGGCAGCGACACACTCCACCCCGTGGGTCTCAGTCGCGGTCCCTGCAGCCCCAGCCTCGGCCTCCTGGCCCTGACTGCGAGGGCGGCTGGGAGCTGGCAGAACAGCTCAGCCTACCCCTGCCCCCCCCCGGCCCCCGTGCCCCTCTCCCCGCCCCCGTGCCCCTCTCCGTGCTCCGTGAGCGTTCCCCTCTGCTCTCGCCTTCCCTGGAGTTCTGGAAGCTCCACCCTTACCACCACGTCCCCATGGCCCGTCACCGTGCTGGGCAAAGGGGACACTGTCCTGCCACCTCCTCAGGCCCGGCCTGGGGACAGGCCTGCTGTGGGATTCTTCAACCACCTTTGGGATTTCTAGCACGAGTCTCTCCCTGAACACCCTTGTAAGTCAGGGTTAAATTAAAAGGTCTGGGCAAAGAAAACGTAAGTTTGTGATGTCCTCATCTTCCTTTTCTGTCCTCCCACCATTCTGCGTGCTCCTAAAATGCACACATTAAATTTTATCTCTCGTTACCTTCTTTAAGAGGGTGTGGCGCTGTGTGTAATCTTTCGGGAGTTCCTTTTCTCGATTACTAGTAAGTCGATAAGCATCGCCCGAGCTGTTCTGTGTTGCTGCAGTTCGTTTGTCTGGACTGCTGTGCGACGTCCCGTGTGTGGATGTGCCTCCGTGGGTTTATCCACTCCTCCGGTCTTGGGCACTTGAACGGTCTTGCTGTGAAGATTTTTGCCTGAAAGTTTTTGTAACATGCATACTGCAAACGCAGGTCGCGGGGTATGTGGGTGTTCCTCCGGGAGCTGCTCACCAGTTTTCCAGAGTGGCTAATTTATACTCCCACGGCCAACCGGTAAAGACAACCCACGGATCCACATCTTCCGTGCACCCGGCATCGTCAGATTGAAATTTGTGCCGTGGAGAAGACGCCTGGAGAAGTCACACGGTCACACTTCTCCAAACAACTGCTGCTGCAAGGCCTTCAGAGAGCAGCTCATTAGGTTCTCACCTGCCAACTCCGACCTGCAGTCACGAGCTAGTGGCCCGGCTTCCTATTCCCAGTCCCTCTGGGGCTCTGCTGCCTCCCTCGAAGGTGACATTTGAGTTCCTTGATCAGCATAAACAAGAATTCTACTTTCTTCAAATAACTCCAATCGATAGAAAGATCCACTGTGTACAATGCACTGTGCCTGCACCTGATGGTAGAGTCAGGAAAGAAACGTTACGTGCCCTGACGTTTAGGAGTTAAGAACCTACTGGGCAGGTGGTGGAAGACGTCACAGTTAAGTGGCCACCAAAACAGCGATCGGAAGGCCGGGCGCTGTGGCTCACGCCTGTAATCCTAGCTCTTGGGAGGCCGAGGCGGGCAGATTGCTCAAGGTCAGGAGTTCAAAACCAGCCTGAGCAAGAGCGAGACCCTGTCTCTACTATAAATACAAAGAAATTAATTGGCCAACTGATATATATATAAAAAATTAGCCGGGCATGGTGGCGCATGCCTGTAGTCCCAGCTACTCGGGAGGCTGAGGCAGAAGGATCACTCGAGCCCAGGAGTTTGAGGTTGCTGTGAGCTAGCCTGACGCCACGGCACTCACTCTAGCCTGGACAACAAAGCGAGACTCTGTCTCAAAAAAAAAAAAAAAACAGCGATCGGGACATGCATGGGGTCAGGGAGGGCTTCCTGGGCGAAGTCGTCCATGAGCTGGGCCTTGAGGGGCAGGTGAACAGGAAATGCAACGGGGCACAGGGAGCTGCCATTTCACCCCGCTCCACGGCACAAATTTCAATCTGACG